CCTCCCCACTGCCTGCTCCGTCTCCCTACACTGGTCCTACTGGAGGTCTTGCTGAGCGTCGTGAGCCTGCGTCTCGCTCTACATCGCCTGTCCGTACTGCTTGCACTAGTGGTCGCGGTTCGCGTCAGCGTCCTCCTCCTGTCCCTGGCACGCACCAGATGTCTCTGCGTTCATCCACTGCTCCTCTGCGTGCCCCTTTGCCTTCTCCTCCTGAGTCCTCTCTTCCTGCTCTTGCCGACCCGGAGTCGAACTCTCTTCGTGCTCCCAGTCCTACGGTCACGCGTCTCCTTGCTACTGTCGTCACTAACCCTTCCTTTGAGTCCATTGCTGCGTCTGCCCTAGTTGCTGAGCTCGCCGACTTTGCTCCTCGCTGTCTTCTAGACTACGCTGCTAGTCTTGTCGCTAAGTCTGTCTATCCTCCATCCGTTGGGAGAGAGTGTGCCCTTGGCACGGACGTCCTTGAGGACAGGCAGGAGGAGTTCCAGTGTCTGGCTGCTGCTTCACCTCATCTCGTGTCCGTCCTGCTTACCCCTGAGGGAGACCCGGATGCACTTGACATCCCGACTCCGCGCTCTTACGCGGAGGCGATAGAGGGTCCCTACTCCTCTCAGTGGCAGGCAGCTATGGATGCAGAGATGGCTTCCTGGAAGTCCACAGGCACCTACGTTGACGAGGTTCCCCCACCTGGGGCGAACATCGTCAGTGGCATGTGGATTTTCAGGGTGAAGCGGCCGACGGGTTCCCCGCCTGTCTTCAAGGCGCGGTACGTGGCGCGTGGCTTCAGTCAGCAGCAGGGAGTTGATTACTTTCAGACCTTCTCTCCCACCCCGAAGATGACCACTCTTCGGGTGCTGCTTCTCATAGCCGCTCAGCGCGACTACGAGCTTCACTCTCTTGACTTCAGCACTCCTTTCTTGCAGGGTAGCCTGTACGAGGAGATCTGTGTGCGCCGCCCACTTGGCTTCACTGGGACTTTTCCTCCTGGCACCAATTGGAGCCTCCGGCGGCCAGTCTACGGTCTCCGCCAGGCACCGCGTGAGTGGCACAACACACTGAGGACTACGCTTGCGGCTCTTGGGTTTGCTCCCTCTACCGCTGACCCGTCGCTGTTTCTGCGCACCGACACTTCTTTGCCGTCGTTCTACATCCTCGTGTACGTCGACGACTTGGTCTTTGCCACAGCTGACACTGCTGGACTCGCCCACGTGAAGTCCGAGCTGCAGAAGAGACACACGTGCACAGACCTGGGTGAACTGCGTAGCTACCTTGGCTTGCAGATCACCCGGGATAGAGCACAGCGCACCATTACCATGACTCAGTCACACATGGTGCAGCAGGTCCTTCAGCGCTTCGGCTTCGCGTACTCCTCGCCTCAGGCCACTCCTCTGCCTACCTGTCACTCGCTCTCAGCTCTGCCTTCGGATGAGTTTGTAGAGTCGAGTGGCCCGTACCCAGAGCTTGTTGGCTGTCTCATGTACCTGATGACTTGCACTCGACCTGACCTTGCATACCCTCTTAGCATTCTCGCACGCTATGTTGCTCCTGGGAGACACAGACCGGAGCACATGGCTACAGCGAAGAGGGTGTTGCGCTACTTGTGCAGTACGTTGGGCATGGGGCTTGTGCTTGGAGGTCGGAGTCCAGTGGTCCTTACTGGGCACGCAGACGCTTCTTGGGCGGACGACCAAGCTACGCAGCGGTCGTCACTGGTTTACACCTTCAGCCTTGGTTACGGCTCTGTTTCGTGGCGGGCTACTCGCTCGTCTTCTGTTCTCGGCTCCAGTTGTGAGGCTGAGATCTACGCCGGGGCCATGGCTGCACAGGAGCTTCGCCGGCTCACCTACCTGCTGACTGACCTCGGAGAGGTGCCTCGTTCTCCTCCAGTGTTGTACGTAGACAACAAGGCCATGCTGGCCTTGTGTCGAGAGCAGAGAGTGGATCACAGAACGAAGCACATTGCTCTTTGCTTCTTCCTTGGTCGTGATCTGCAGCAGCGTGGACAGTTGCGTCTTGCGTACTTGGCCTCTGAGGCCAACACTGCTGATATCTTCACCAAGGCACATGCGCCTTGTGATCATCAGCGCTTCTGTACTCAGCTTGGTCTTGTGCCTGTCTTGCCTCACTTGCTCACGTCTTGACCTTGCTTGTACTGTTACATATATATACACCTGCTCTTGCTTGTCTAGCTTTCTATATATATATGTACTCCTGCATGTGAACTGGCCTTGTGGCCTTGAACTTGTGCTCGGAATGTGTGGTGACTTTGTGATCCACCCTGAGCTTGCTTTGCTTTGCTTTGCTTGACTGGTCTGGTGACCGCTTGTTCTCCCCCACTTTGCCTACGGGGGTGTGTTAGAACATTATAGCTTATGCTTTTGTGTAGGCTGTAGTGGGGTAGCCCATATGGGGTACAACCCAATTAGGGTTTGTACTTGTACCCAATTGTTTCATATTTCATTCATTCTCGTTTCAATTCTCACACACCGACCACCGCCCTCTTCAACACTTGAAAACACAGCCCGTGTTCAGCCGCCGCCAAGCCCGATGGGCTGAGTTTTTGGAGCAGTTCGTACCCTCACTTCAGATTATCTACCGCCCCGGAAAACTCAACCCAACCGACATCTTGTCCAGACCACCACCACCAGCCCCACCACCCACCAACCAGCCCAAACCAACCACCAACCAGCCCCACCACTCCCCAACCAGCCCCACCTCATCACCTCCACCTCACAGTCCGAACCCACCCTTGCAACTCCATGGAATCAGCAGCATCACTTGGGATGATACCTTCATCACGAAATTTCAGCGCGCCTACAAACGTGACCTGTTTTTTGTCAAGCAAGCACCCGAGGACCCGGCCTACACATTTGAAGACCCATTTTGATACAACACCGTCACCAAGACCATTTGTGTCCCTGCAGATCGCTCTTTACGACAGCTGCTACTCTCCGAATACCACGACACCGTTACCGGCAGCCACTTTGGTGTTGAGAAGACCTACGCACGCCTCTCCAACGACTACCATTGGCCACGCATGCATGCTGATGTGTGTGACTTCATACGCACCTGCCGCACCTGCCAACAACTCAAAGCACGCACCACCAACCGCTACGGACTCCTTCAGCCCATCCCTCCACCTACCAAAGTGTGGGATGAAGTCACCATGGACTTCATCATGGATCTGCCCCGCACACCCCGCAGCTACAATGATATCCTAGTCGTCGTCGACCGACTCTCCAAAATGAGCCACTTCATTCCTACCCACACAGCCGTCACCGCACCCGAAACAGCCCGACTCTTCTTCGATCACATAGTCCGCCTACATGGTCTCCCATCCGCCATCATTTCAGACCGTGACCCCCGCTTCTTGAGTAACTTTTGGCAGAGCCTCTTCAAGCTTCACGGAACCCGGCTGAAGTTTTCTACCGCGTATCACCCTGAAACGGACGGACAAACCGAACGGATGAACCGCACGCTTGAAGACTCCCTCCGTGCACAAGTTACTGCTCGTCAAACTGATTGGGATCTCCACCTCACCGCCATCGAACTCGCATACAACAGCACACCCCACCTTTCCACCGGCCAGCCACCCTTCTACCTTGCAACCGGACAGCACCCCCGCCTCCCCACGACCCCACCCCCCCACCTCTCCCACGCACCAGCAGCCTTTGAGTTCCTCACCTCACTCGAATCAGCCATTGATGCCGCTCGCACCTCCATCCTTAAAGCTCAAGCCAAACAGACCCACTATGCCAACTCCCACCGCAAATATATACGCTTCAAGGTTGGCGATCAAGTGTTACTCTCCACTGACCACCTACCTCTCCTACGCAAAGGCACAACCAGAAAACTCGCCCCTCGCTTTATTGGCCCGTTCACCATCACCCAAGTCCTCTCACCAGTGACCTACCGTCTCCAACTGCCCAGCTATATGAAGATTCACCCCGTCTTCCATGTCCAGCGCCTCCGCCCTTTCCGTGCACCTTCACACGACCGTCCAGCCACACGCCAACTGCCACCGATGTTCGAAGGCAGCCCCGGCCTGTTTGAGGTTGCATCTATCGCTGCACATCGCGACACACCTCATGGTCGCGAGTTTCTTGTTCATTGGAAGGACCAGCCCACTAGTGATGACTCATGGGAACCAGAGAGCCACCTTGACCGTGCCGCAACTGCTGTGAATCGGTATTTGACCAGCCACGGTTTGGCACCGTGGACGGCGCCACTTGGAGGGGGAAGTAATGTAACAGTGTGGCAGCCGAATGCTGCCAAGTACAGTGCAGGTGGGCGGAAGTCAAGCGCCACCTCACCAACTGTTCGTATTGGTCAAACGCCTCAACCTGCAGCTGGGCGACCAGGTCCTGACGCGCAGCCCAACACAAACCCTCGCGCGAAAATTACGAAACGCAGAACACCGAAGTTCCGACCGCTCGCCGACTTCGCCAACAACTCCGACGAAATTACAGCCCCGTATCCAAGCTCGCCGTCCAATCCCGTACCGCAATAATTCTCTGAATTTCACGGCAGGTTCATTTCAAAGGGGTTGGGTTACCATTGAGAAATTCAGAGAGAGTCGCGACTTGGGAGTGTGACTCGATATTTGAATGTGCTCTATAAAATTGTACTGTGAAATTTATAGTGCAATTTCCAGAGAACTCCAGAGAGCACTCTATCCTCGTTTTCCTAGCCTACGAAGGCTGCTACTTCCCTGCCAGCAACGTTTCATCATCCCATTTTCAACTCAGTTTTCCAAGAACTCGATTATCCAAGAACGGATTCTGCCTACGTGACGTCGTCTTTCCTGCCTGTGTATAGCCAGGTTTGCCGGCCGGGACGGTTCGACGCTATGGGGACCAGGCGGGTTTTAACAGCGCGCTTCTTTTTTATTTCTGTTGTCTTGGCTGCGAGTAGAAAAGCAATCAAGAATCCTGCCACTACTATTGTAGTACAGTCGCGATTACTACTACCACCATTATTAGCACGGCCCCCATTATTGCCAGATGGACGTTCTATCCGTTGAAGCGCATCGCGCGGAGAAGAAGAATCTGTTGCCGGTACTGGCGGATGAGAAGCTTGAAGGGAGCATCACGCGGCGCGTGAGTTTTGAGTCGATCCAGAATGCGACGACGAGTTTTGAGTCGATTCAAAACCCGTTTCTGGCGGACGACAAGCTCGACGCGAGACAGCAAGACATGACGTCGCGCGCGGACGAGAGGCTGGACGGGAGCATGACGCGGCGCGGGATGCTCGCCGCCGTTTCGTACATGATCTGCGCAGGTAGTTACTAGGTTTAGGTGCTTCGGATAGTTCGGGTTACGTGTTTCGGGTAGTTCGGGTAGATGTTCGGGCAGTCTGGGTTACTTTTTTCGTGTCACCGTTCGATATAAGGTTTCTCACGTTTTATTTATACTATGGTAAGGTATGGGATTTGAGTGCGATAACTCAGGTACATTTGGTGATTCTTTGTGACCTAGGCTGAATGACTCGTGATTACATTGGACTTCTGCTTATGTGATTCTACACCTGTGACTCGTAATTAGGTTGCTTAAGGTAAGCTGTTGTATCACCATCTTTAAACCGATCTGTGACTTTACCACCCTCCTTACCCGTTTCTCCTTTCTTCTTACCCTACTATACGTGCTCATCCCGCTCCCTCCCTACAGTCACACTCGTTATGTTCAACAAGGCCGCGCTCTCCTCTTTCAACTTCCCCTGCGCCAACGTCATTTCTCTACTTCAGGTGACGTCACGCAACCAGGTGACGTCATTCTACCCTCCCTGTGACGTCTCTAGTACCCTCCAGGTGACGTCATCATCCACTTTGAGGTATCTTGTGCTAGCCGTGCTTCGTCTCTCAAACGACCTTTCATTTCCTAATGCTGCATCATATCCTCCCTCCCTCGCCCCCAGCCATCCCCCGCTGCAGCCTTTCTAGCCGTGCTGGTCTCTCAAACGACCTTTCATTTCCTGATGCTGCATATCCTCCTCTCCTCTCTCTCCCCTTGTCTTCTCCCCCCTCCCACCTCCAGATGCTCTCCTCCACGGCGCTGCTAGCCGTGCTGCGCCTGGCGGGCCTTCTCACCTGCGCAGGCAGCTAGGCCAAGGCCGAAGCAGTGGCTCCTCCACCTTATCACGCTGCTCCCACCCCCCCTTCTTTACCCCCTCAGATGCTCTCCTCCACGGCGCTGCTAGCCGTGCTGCGCCTGGCAGGCGTTCTCACCTTCGCAGACGCCTCTGCAACACCTCAATAGTCCTTTTATCTCCCCCCTGCCCACCCACCCACCCCCTTCTTTACCCCCTCAGATGCTCTCCTCCACGGCGCTGCTAGCAGTGCTGCGCCTGGGCAGGCGCGCTGACCTTCACAGACGGCTAGCCCACTTGTCCCGCTGTGTATCCTCCCCTCCGTTCCTCCCACTTCCCCCTCAGATGCTCTCCTCCACGGCGCTGCTAGGCGTGCTGCGCCTGGGCAGGCGCGCTGACCTTCACAGACGGCTAGCCCACTTGTCCCGCTGTGTATCCTCCCGTCCGTTCCTCCCACTCCCCCCTCAGATGCTCTCCTCCACGGCGCTGCTAGCCGTGCTGCGCCTGGGCAGGCGCGCTGACCTTCACAGACGGCTAGCCCACTTGTCCCGCTGTGTATCCTCCCCTCCGTTCCTCCCACTCCCCCCTCAGATGCTCTCCTCCACGGCGCTGCTAGCCGTGCTGCGCCTGGCAGGCGTTCTTGCATGTCCTGATGCGTATCCTCCCTTTCTCTCCCTTCCGTCTCTCCTCCCCCCCCCCCCCCCCCCCCCCCCTTCTCTAACACTCCTTCAGATGCTCTCCTCCACGGCGCTCCTAGCCGTGCTGCGCCTGGCGGGCCTTCTCACCTTCGCAGACGCCGCCGCAACACCCGACGTGGCTAGCAGTACTTTCGTGCCTCTGCAAACCCTCGGCCGAGTGCTGCCTCTCTCCCTCGCGTATATGCTCAACGTGGTGCGTGCCTCGCATTGTGCGAGCCTCCTTGTGTGCTGGGGGTAAGGGAGGGAAGGGAGGGAAGGGAGGGAAGGGAGGGAAGGGAGGGAAGGGAGGGAAGGGAGGGAAGGGAGGGAAGGGAGGGAAGGGAGGGAAGGGAGGGAAGGGAGGGAGGAGCAAGTGCCTCTGCAAGCTCTCGCGCGAGTGCTGCCTCTCTCTCTCTCCTACATGCTCAACGTGGTGCGTGCGTCCCATTGTTAGACTGGGGGTAAGGGAGGGAAGGGAGGGCGGAGCAGGGGCGGCCGCAGAGGGATTGTGCTTCTCTCGCTCTCCTATACGCTCAACGTGGTATGCTGAGGGGAGGGAAGGGAGGGACGAGAGGGAAGGGATGGAGCAGCAGGGGCGGGCGCAGTGCTTTCGTGCCTCTGCATACTCTCGGCCGAGTTCTGCCCCCCTCTCCCAAGCGGTCCGTGTATTAGATCCGTGCAACGTGCTGCCCCCCTCTCCCTCTCTCCTACATGCTCAACGTGGTGCGTGCGTGCCTCTCTCCTTGTGCGGGCCTCCTTGTGTACTGGGTCTGGGGGTTAAGGGAGGGAAGGGAGGGGAGGGAGGGGAGGGAGGGAGGAGTAGGAGTGCCTCTGCATACTCTCGCGCGAGTGCTGCCCCCCTCTCCCTCTCTCCTACATGCTCAACGTGGTGCGTACATGCCTCTCCTTGTGCGTGCCTCCTTGTGTACTGGAGGGGAGGGAGGGGAGGGAGGGGAGGGAGGGGAGGGAGGGGAGGGAGGGGAGGGAGGGGAGGGAGGGGAGGGAGGGAGGAGCAGGAATGCCTCTGCATATTCTCGGCCGAGTGCTGCCGCTCTCCTTCCCCTACATGCTCGGCGTGGGGGCTGGATGGGGGGGAGAAGGGGAGGGGAGGGAGGGGAGGGAGGAGCAGGAGCGAGAGTGATCGGCATGGCGAGCATAAGGGGGGTGAACAGCACTCCCATGTATACAGCTCTCAGGCGCACCACAGTTGCATTGCATTCACTCTCCGCTCCCTGTGTATATGTTCATGTGTGATCATGTGTGTTCATGGGTGTTCATGTGTTTCCATCTACTCCCAATCCCACAGTCGCCTTCACCCGTGCATGTGTGTGTGTGTGTGTGTGTGTGTTTCCATCTACTCCCAATCCCACTATCAGGTGATCAGCATGGCGAGCATAAGAGGGGTCAACGTGCCCATGTACACGGCTCTCAGGCGCACCACAGTCGCCTTCACCCTCATTGCAGAGCGCCTGCTGGCGAGCAAGCAGCACTCGGTCTACACGCTCATCAGGTGGGTGGATTACCCGCGTAACAAAGTGCTTGTTGTGTGGGTTGCAAGGAGCACTCAGGCACACCACAGTCGCATTCACCCTCATTGCCGAGCGGCTACTGGCGAGCAAGCAGCACTCGGTCTACACGCTCATCAGGTGGGTGGATTACCCGCGTAACAAAGTGCTTGTTGTGTGGGTTGCAAGGAGCACTCAGGCACACCACAGTCGCATTCACCCTCATTGCCGAGCGGCTACTGGCGAGCAAGCAGCACTCGGTCTACACGCTCATCAGGTGGGTGGATTACCCGCGTAACAAAGTGCTTGTTGTGTGGGTTGCAAGGAGCACTCAGTCACACCACAGTCGCATTCACCCTCATTGCCGAGCGGCTACTGGCGAGCAAGCAGCACTCGGTCTACACGCTCATCAGGTGGGTGGATTACCCGCGTAACAAAGTGCTTGTTGTGTGGGTTGCAAGGAGCACTCAGGCACACCACAGTCGCATTCACCCTCATTGCCGAGCGGCTACTGGCGAGCAAGCAGCACTCGGTCTACACGCTCGTCAGGTGGGTTACCCTCCTTACACTACTTGCTGTGTGTGGGGGAGGGGGGGGGGCTTGCAAGCAGCTTCATGCCACCACAGCCGCCTTCACTCTCCTGGCAGAGCGGTTGCTGGCGAGCAAGCAGCACTCCGCCTACACGCTCGTCAGGTGGGTGGGGTTGAGGGTAGCACTACACCCCTCTACACCCCTCTACACTCCTGGTGGACTCAGACGCACCACGGTCGCCTTCACTCTCCTGGGAGAGTGGGTGCTGCCGAGCAAGCAGCACTCCGCCTACACGCTCGTCAGGTGGGCCTGAGGGTCAAAATAAGTTTCAATACATCAAAATAAGTTTCAATACATCAAAATAAGTTTCAATACATCAAAATAAGTTTCATTACATACAAATAAGCCTCCCTACGTTAGGTATCATTCCCTTTGTGACCACTATGCTTTTCTCTCCTCCCAACGTTATCAAATCAAGCTTCCCTACATCAAATGTTATGTTTTTTGTAACCACTATAAGTTCATCTCCTCTTCCTTCCAACAATTTGGCCGCTTGCTTGGAGTTAAAAAGTGTAGGTTTGGTCGATAAACTTGAACGTTCATCAGAATAATGGTTCGGGTGTACCATCACACACACGAAGGGTTCGCACTGCATCAGGAGTGAAAGGAGTATTTTGAGGCGCCTCAGAATTCGCGAGTATTGAGGTGTATTTTGAGGCGCCTCAAAATAATGGTTCGGGTGTACAGTCGCACGAAGGGTTCGTGCTGCATCAGGAGTGAAAGGATGGCAAAAATGCCAACACCAAGAGTCGAACACAGTCAATCGATTCTTGACTAACTAGAACCCAGGCGTGCACCAGGCACAACTTATAGCGTGGCACGTCGAAATGTTGCTACGCTAAAGCAGCTGGCCTTGCATTCAGATTGGTGCATGGTGATTGGTGCATGGTGATTGGCGCATGGTGATTGGCGCTTGGTGATTGGCGCATGGTGATTGGTGTTGTTTTAAGTGTGCGCTTGTTTTTGGAGTGTAAATTGAATGATCCCCACACCTCTTTTGCTCCCTCCTTCTCTGCAGTTCAGTGCAGCAGTAGCAGTGACAGGAGCACTGGTGGCAGGCAGGCAGGGTGATTGAGTCTTACTCATGGTGTTTGTGCATGTAGCAATCGCAATTCTTTCCTCCCTTCCCCCCTTCTCTGCAGTTCAGTGTGGCAGTCACAGTCACAGGGAGCACTAGCGGCAGGGTAGGGGGGAGTCTCTCGTTAAAACTCATGCCATGTAGCAATCACAATTTTTTCTTCCCTTCCCCACTTCTCTGCGGTTCAGTGTGGCAGTTACAGTCACAGGGAGCACTGGCGGCAGGGTGGGGGGGAGTTTCTCGTTAAAGCTCATGCCTGTGCATGTAGCAATTGCAAGTTGACTTTTGAGCCGACTCAAAAGTCAGCTCGTGAAAGCTCATGCCTGTGCATGTAGCAATTGCAAGTTTTTCTTCCCTTCCCCACTCTTCCCCCCTGTCTCTGCGGTTCAGTGTGGCAGTCATAGTGGCAGGAGCGCTGGTGGCAGCAGTAAGGGATTTCTCATTCGAGGCCTACGGCTACTCGATTGCTCCCCTGGCAAACCTCACCACCGCTCTGTACCTCTCTTCTTCCCCCCCTTATCCGCAGTGCAGTGTGGCAGTCATAGTGGCAGGAGCACTGGTGGCAGCAGTAAGGGATTTCTCATTCAAGGCCTACAGCTACTCGATTGCTCCCCTGGCAAACCTCACCACCGCTCTGTACCTCTCTTCTTCTCCCCCTTATCCGCAGTGCAGTGTGGCAGTCATAGTGGCAGGAGCACTGGTGGCAGCAGTAAGGGATTTCTCATTCGAGGCCTACGGCTACTCGATTGCTCCCCTGGCAAACCTCACCACTGCTCTGTACCTCACTTCTTCTCCCCCTTATCCGCAGTGCAGTGTGGCAGTCATAGTGGCAGGAGCACTGGTGGCAGCAGTAAGGGATTTCTCATTCGAGGCCTACGGCTACTCGATTGCTCCCCTGGCAAACCTCACCACCGCTCTGTACCTCTCTTCTTCTCCCCCTTATCCGCAGTGCAGTGTGGCAGTCATAGTGGCAGGAGCACTGGTGGCAGCAGTAAGGGATTTCTCATTCGAGGCCTACGGCTACTCGATTGCTCCCCTGGCAAACCTCACCACTGCTCTGTACCTCACTTCTTCTCCCCCTTATCCGCAGTGCAGTGTGGCAGTCATAGTGGCAGGAGCACTGGTGGCAGCAGTAAGGGATTTCTCATTCGAGGCCTACGGCTACTCGATTGCTCCCCTGGCAAACCTCACCACCGCTCTGTACCTCTCTTCTTCTCCCCCTTATCCGCAGTGCAGTGTGGCAGTCATAGTGGCAGGAGCACTGGTGGCAGCAGTAAGGGATTTCTCATTCGAGGCCTACGGCTACTCGATTGCTCCCCTGGCAAACCTCACCACTGCTCTGTACCTCACTTCTTCTCCCCCTTATCCGCAGTGCAGTGTGGCAGTCATAGTGGCAGGAGCACTGGTGGCAGCAGTAAGGGATTTCTCATTCGAGGCCTACGGCTACTCGATTGCTCCCCTGGCAAACCTCACCACCGCTCTGTACCTCTCTTCTTCTCCCCCTTATCCGCAGTGCAGTGTGGCAGTCATAGTGGCAGGAGCACTGGTGGCAGCAGTAAGGGATTTCTCATTCGAGGCCTACGGCTACTCGATTGCTCCCCTGGCAAACCTCACCACTGCTCTGTACCTCACTTCTTCTCCCCCTTATCCGCAGTGCAGTGTGGCAGTCATAGTGGCAGGAGCACTGGTGGCAGCAGTAAGGGATTTCTCATTCGAGGCCTACGGCTACTCGATTGCTCCCCTGGCAAACCTCACCACCGCTCTGTACCTCTCTTCTTCTCCCCCTTATCCGCAGTGCAGTGTGGCAGTCATAGTGGCAGGAGCACTGGTGGCAGCAGTAAGGGATTTCTCATTCGAGGCCTACGGCTACTCGATTGCTCCCCTGGCAAACCTCACCACTGCTCTGTACCTCACTTCTTCTCCCCCTTATCCGCAGTGCAGTGTGGCAGTCATAGTGGCAGGAGCACTGGTGGCAGCAGTAAGGGATTTCTCATTCGAGGCCTACGGCTACTCGATTGCTCCCCTGGCAAACCTCACCACCGCTCTGTACCTCTCTTCTTCTCCCCCTTATCCGCAGTGCAGTGTGGCAGTCATAGTGGCAGGAGCACTGGTGGCAGCAGTAAGGGATTTCTCATTCGAGGCCTACGGCTACTCGATTGCTCCCCTGGCAAACCTCACCACTGCTCTGTACCTCACTTCTTCTCCCCCTTATCCGCAGTGCAGTGTGGCAGTCATAGTGGCAGGAGCACTGGTGGCAGCAGTAAGGGATTTCTCATTCGAGGCCTACGGCTACTCGATTGCTCCCCTGGCAAACCTCACCACCGCTCTGTACCTCTCTTCTTCTCCCCCTTATCCGCAGTGCAGTGTGGCAGTCATAGTGGCAGGAGCACTGGTGGCAGCAGTAAGGGATTTCTCATTCGAGGCCTACGGCTACTCGATTGCTCCCCTGGCAAACCTCGCCACCGCTCTGTACCTCTCTTCTTCTCCCCCTTATCCACAGTGCAGTGTGGCAGTCATAGTGGCAGGAGCACTGGTGGCAGCAGTAAGGGATTTCTCATTCGAGGCCTACGGCTACTCGATTGCTCCCCTGGCAAACCTCACCACCGCTCTGTACCTCTCTTCTTCTCCCCCTTATCCGCAGTGCAGTGTGGCAGTCATAGTGGCAGGAGCACTGGTGGCAGCAGTAAGGGATTTCTCATTCGAGGCCTACGGCTACTCGATTGCTCCCCTGGCAAACCTCGCCACCGCTCTGTACCTCTCTTCTTCTCCCCCTTATCCGCAGTGCAGTGTGGCAGTCATAGTGGCAGGAGCACTGGTGGCAGCAGTAAGGGATTTCTCATTCAAGGCCTACGGCTACTCGATTGCTCCCCTGGCAAACCTCGCCACTGCTCTGTACCTCTCTTCTTCTCCCCCTTATCCGCAGTGCAGTGTGGCAGTCATAGTGGCAGGAGCACTGGTGGCCGCCGTAAGGGACTTCTCATTCGAGGCCTACGGCTACTCGATTGCTCCCCTGGCAAACCTCACCACTGCTCTGTACCTCACTTCTTCTCCCCCTTATCCGCAGTGCAGTGTGGCAGTCATAGTGGCAGGAGCACTGGTGGCAGCAGTAAGGGATTTCTCATTCGAGGCCTACGGCTACTCGATTGCTCCCCTGGCAAACCTCACCACCGCTCTGTACCTCTCTTCTTCTCCCCCTTATCCGCAGTGCAGTGTGGCAGTCATAGTGGCAGGAGCACTGGTGGCAGCAGTAAGGGATTTCTCATTCGAGGCCTACGGCTACTCGATTGCTCCCCTGGCAAACCTCGCCACCGCTCTGTACCTCTCTTCTTCTCCCCCTTATCCGCAGCTTAGTGGGAATATAAGCTTATTGCGTATATAAGCTGATCTTATATACGCACTCGTATATACGCTAAACGCTTTCGGGCCGGGTTTGGGAATACGCTTTTCCGGGCAGAAAAAAAACTTCCCGGGCAGGGTCAAAAAAACCCTGGGAAGGGGGGGGGGGGGGGGGGGGGGGGGGGGTATGGGGCAGGGGTTTGGGGTCTGAAATTTCAGAGTACATTTTTTTCCCACTAAGTCACATACACCAAGGCCTGCACATAACTTTCCCCTACTCTCTAACTCTCTTACCACTACCATCACTACAATGGTACACTACACCATCACGACCATCACTTATATCCTGGACTCTCTAGGTACTACTCCTTAGGCCTGGCCGCCCACTGCAATGCAAGCCACATATGCCCCCTCTACTTAGCGTACTCGTCTTCGAGGATGTCGTCGTCGCTTTCCTCCTCATCCTCTCCCTTCGCCTCGTCTTCCAGCCCATTGTATCCCGCCGGGATTGGAGGCTCCGCTCCTATCCCGGCCACCACATGTGGCAGGACATCGGCGCGCGTGTGCCAGTTGCGCACAACATTCCAGTTGTGCGTAACATAGACCAAGTCCCTGCACTTGGCGGATCCGAGCCTGTTCCGACGTGCGGTGTGGACGACATCCCAAGATGACCATCCACGCTCACAAGGTGAGGCGGACACGGGCTGAGACAGCACCCGTACCGCGAGCCCCGCCACACGTGGAGCATCGGTCCCATTCCACTGCCACCACTTCACCATGCTATACTTCCCCTCTTTCACCAGCTTCCTCTGTGCCACGGCTTCCGGCATCCCAAAAGAACCCTTCATGTCAAGAAACGCCCTCAGCCCGTCCCCCAGCTCAAGCAAGATGCTGCAAGCGTCATCCCCCCCATCCCCGCGGCTCGCAAGGAACTCGGCGTACTGGCTGATGAACACCTTGAAGACCTTCGTGCACTCGAGATCAGTGCCGAAGATATCTTCCTCCTGATTGGCGGGGTTGAGGATGCGGCCAGCGACATGCATGGCGCATGCGAGGCTGCCGTCCCAGCGGTCTCTGAGGATCTTGCGGATCTGGTCCTTATCCGCGTTGCTCAGCTGCTCCTCGTCCGCATCGAGTAAGTCCCCCACGTCCTCAGTCAACTGAAGCATAACATCGTATATCCTCCCCATCATCCCCACGGCATGCCCGTCCGTCTGCCTCATCGCCTTATAGGGCAGCTTCAGGAGGGCAGTGAAGAAGTCGGCCGTCTTCCACCAGGCGGCATCATGGATCAGCGCAGCAAACGCGTCGCATGATTTCTTCCGGTCCCCTACCGCCCACTCCTTCCACCCCTCGCTCGTCACCATGTTGGTGAGGCTGCCGCGCATCGCACACAGCCGGGAGATGGAGATGTAGTTCGTCCCGAACCTCGTTCCAGCCGGCTTCAGCGCTTCCAGAACCTTCCCCTCCACCAATTCCGGCGTGCGCAGGTACCCGCGGGTCCAATGGTGGTTGCGGACGAAGCTGCTAATCTCCCCTCCCTTGTCGACCACCGGCTTAGCCCACCCCATCTTCCCCACGTCTTCCAGGAGAAGATCCATCACATGGGTGGCGCACGGCACGTCTTGAATGTGCGGCCACTCCTGAATCAGTCGCTTCACCGCCACCGCGTAGTTCGATCCCCCATCCATGCAGAACGCCACAACGTTCTCTGGCCCCACTTCCTCCACCACGGGCCTGAGAATCCCCGCCACGTAACCACCCGTTTTCTTCTCCATGTTGCAGTCAACACAGTCGTAGAAGACGGCGCCCGAATCATTGACGAGAAGAATGTTGGCCTGCGGCCTGCCCCTGCGGTCCGTCATCATGTCGGACGACACCGTCACGCCCGTCCGCTTCCAGCTCGTTTTGACGCCCACCAAACCCGCCTCGATGCCGTTGCGACACGCTACAAGGCCAGCACCGCCGACGTATTTCCGCTTGGGGGGGACGTAGTCTTTCCCGGCGCGGGAGACGTTGTTCAATGCGTTGACCATCAGAGGATGGTCAATGTGGCGCTCGGGGATGTGGAGGGCGGCCCAAGCAAGCGCAAGTGACTCGTCCGCTTCTCGCTTTCGTGCAGCCGTATCCCCCTCGAGGTAATCGGTGATTCGCGCGCGCTTCCCACCGTCAGCCGTCACCGCGGCAACCGCGGCAGCAGCGGCCCGCCTCCTTTCGTCGGCCGCAGCAGTCTTTGCCTCGTAATGCGCTTTCATGGCCCGACGCACATCTTGCGGCGCATCCTTGCACAGCACCACTTCACGGCGTTTCATGCCCTTCCACGACGCGAAGTGTTGCGCGCATCGGATGGCAGCACCGGTGTAGAGGTTGCTGCAGAACTTGCACTCGTACTGCTGGGCTTTACCCTCGACCCGCTTGACGATGCGGAAATGCTTGAAGACGACATGGTCGACGTCGGGGAGATACTCCCGTGCCTCGGTTAGAAGAGTCTGCGAGCTGCCAACGGTGTTAACTGACGGTGCCGTGGGAGGAGAAGTGGTAGTAGTCGACATAGGCACCAGGCGCTAGGGAATGCCCAGTGCTCTGCTGGTAGCGGGAGAAGACCTAATGAGTTGGATGTTGGGGGTGTGCGTGTTTAATAGCGAGTAGATTGGGGGAGTTGGAAGATGGGCAACTGAAGTTGGAATCGCAATTGGTTGTGAAGGTTTTGAATGCGGTACTGACTGTGACCACCAAAATGTGAGGGAACGTGCAAGCGCGACTCGACGTACGTGACTTTCCATTCGCGGCTCAAACTTTCAACCCACGTCCACGCTAGCACACAGCGCGGACGTGACATTTGACCCCGCCAATGTGTTCGTCGTGCAATTCCGAAGCGAACCGTATAGGTTGAATTTTTTTGGCCGGGCTGCCCCTAAAAAAATTTGGCTAGCGTATAGCGTATTCGCTAGCGTTTTGCGTATTGCGTATAAACGCTAGCGTGTATACGCTAAACGCAAACAGTTCTGAGCGTATTTTCCCACTAAGATCCGCAGTGCAGTGTGGCAGTCATAGTGGCAGGAGCACTGGTGGCAGCAGTAAGGGATTTCTCATTCGAGGCCTACGGCTACTCGATTGCTCCCCTGGCAAACCTCGCCACCGCTCTGTACCTCTCTTCTTCTCCCCCTTATCCGCAGTGCAGTGTGGCAGTCATAGTGGCAGGAGCACTGGTGGCCGCCGTAAGGGACTTCTCATTCGAGGCCTACGGCTACTCAGTCGTTCTCCTGTCAAACCTCACCACCGCTCTGTACCTCACTCTTATTGCGAGGCTGGGCAAGTCCACTGGGCTCAACAGCTTCGGCCTCATGTGGTCCAATGGTGAGTCTTGATTGAAATGGTGAGTGCTTATTACATGTCCTCGCAACTTAGACCATGTCCCAACATTACCACAACTCTCTGCCACTCCCTCACTGCGAGGCTGGGCAAGGTCACTGGGCTCAACAGCTTCGGCCTCATGTGGTCCAATGGTGAGTCTGCATTGCATGTGCTCTCAACTTAAGAGCGTGCTCCACCATCACCACCACTCTCTACCGCTCTCTACTGCTCTCTACCGCTCTTTAATGCGCCTTAATTGCGAGGCTGGGCAAGTCCACTGGGCTCAACAGCTTCGGCCTCATGTGGTCCAATGGTGAGGTGAGTGCTCTCCAATTTGTTCCAACATCACCACCGCTCTGTACCGCACTCTTATCGCGAGGCTAGGCAAGGCCAAAGGCCGCAACAGCTTCGGCCCCATGTGGTCTCATGGTGAGTGCTGGAGCCTTTTGAATCGAACTGATACCATGCGTTGTCCTGTGGTGTAAGTAATGGATTGACTCCTCCCCTCCCTCCCCGCGCCGCTCCTCTGAGTCCATTCTCTCCCATCCCCCCCACTCCATCTGCATGACCCCCCAATCTGCGGGAAAGTAAGCGTGTTTTGAGACGTCTCAAAACACTGAGTCCATTCTCTCCCATCACCCCCACTCCACTCCATTGGCATGCTCTCTGCATCCCCGCTCCTTCCGCCAGGCATCAACTGCATACCCGCGCTGCTCCTCTGGACGTTCGTCTCGGGGGAGATTCAACGGGCGCTAGCGTTCCCTGCGCTGCTTGACCCTGCTTTCCTGGTGGGTTGGTGGGTGGTGCATTGGTGGTGTGGTGTGTTGGTGGGTTGTGTGTTGGTGGGTGGTGCATGGGTCGTTTTTCTCTGTCCCCTCTCCCCCCCCCCCCCCCCCCCCTCTGCCTCCCGCCCCCTCCCCCCCTCTTCTCCTCTGGACATCCCTCTCGGGGGAGATTTAACGGGCGTGTTCCCAGTGGGTTGCTGCTGGACCCGCGTTCCCTCTCGGGTTCAGCAGCACTGGACATCTTCTCTGGACATCCCTCTCTGCGTTCCCAGTGGGTTGCTGCTGGACCCTGATTTCCTGGTGGGTCGCCGCGTTCCCCCGCTCCACCCTTTTGAGTCGACCCTTCCTTGTCCTGCTTCCATCCACAACTATGTCAGAACCTTTTGAATTGAGCTCCGTTTTCAACTTTTGAGGCGCCTCAAAAGTCGTTTTCAACTCTTGAGGCGCCTCATAAGTCGTTTTCAACTCTGGAGGTGCCTCAAAAGTCGTTTTCAACTCTTGAGGCGCCTCATAAGTCGTTTTCAACTCTTGAGGCGCCTCATAAGTCGTTTTCAACTCTTGAGGCGCCTCATAAGTCGTTTTCAACTCTTGAGGCGCCTCAAAAGTCGTTTTCAACTCTTGAGGCGCCTCAAAAGTCGTTTTCAACTCTTGAGGCGCCTCAAAAGTCGTTTTCAACTCTTGAGGCGCCTCATAAGTCGTTTCCAACTCTTGAGGCGCCTCAAAAGTCCTTTTCAACTCTTGAGGCGCCTCATAAGTCGTTTCCAACTCTTGAGGCGCCTCAAAAGTCGTTTTTAACTCTGGAGGCGCCTCAAAAGTCCTTTTCAACTCTTGAGGCGCCTCAAAAGTCGTTTTCAACTCTTGAGGCGCCTCATAAGTCCTTTTCAACTCTTGAGGCGCCTCACAAGTCGTTTTCAACTCTTGAGGCGCCTCAAAACTTGCCCTGCTCCCATCCACTATGTCATAACCACATTGTGCTCCGTTTTCATAGCATGCCCTCCCCTCCCCCCTTTCTTGCCCTGCTCCCATGCATCAGGTGGTGCTGTCGATGTCGTGTCTCGTGGCCTTCGCACTCAACAACACTGTGTTTCTCAACACCTCTCTCAACTCTGCCCTCCCCCTCCCCCTCCCCATCCCCCTCCCCCTCCCCATCCCCCTCCCCCTCCCCTTCCCCCTCCCCACTTTCTTGCCCTCCTCCCATGCATCAGGTGGTGCTGGCGATGTCGTGTCTCATGGCCTTTGCACTCAACTGCACCATTAAATGCACAGCAGAGACACATGCACTCCCTATGCCCTTCCCCCCCTTCCTCCCATCCATCAGTTGGTGCTGGCGATGTCGTGTCTCGTGGCCTTTGCACTCAAATACACCATCCATGCCGCAACAGCCCTCTCCCACCTACCACCCACCCCTCCCCTCTCTTCTCCTCTCTTCCCCTCCTGCTCCCATGCATCAGGCGGTGCTGTCCATGTCTTGCCTCATGGCCTTTGCACTCACCTACACTGTGCTTCTCAACGCCTCACTTTCTCTCCAACCTAAACAACCACTGCAGTCTCTTCCAATCTCTCCCACCCATGCATCAGGTGGTGCTGTCAATGTCGTGTCTCATGGCCTTTGCACTCAACTACACGGTGTTTCTCAACACCTCTCTCAACTCGGCCCTCACTCAAAACATGTGCGGCAATCTCAAGGTGTGTGGCGGTAATATCGAGGTATGTACGCAGTGGTAACCAGTGTAACATCAAGCATGGTGGCATGAAGGTGTGAATACCCTCACCTCAACTACACGGTGTTTCTCAACACCTCTCTCAACTCAGCCCTCACTCAAAACATGTGCGGCAATCTCAAGGTGTGTGGCGGTAGCATCAAGGTGTGTGGCGGTAGCATCAAGGTGTGTGGCGGTAGCATCAAGGTGTGTGGTGGTAACATCAAGGTGTGGAGTGTGGTAACGTCCAGGAGCGTAACATTGGCTACTGGTTTCAGTCCATGCTTAGCAATAATTTCTATGGGGGGCTCTAGAGTCTATCTGTATTCTCACGCCATGTTCACCTTCTAACCTACCGTATGCTCCCTCCCTCCCCTTTCTGACTGGAAATAGTAGGGAGTGGACACAAACTAGTATCAAGGGCATAGTTTCTAACCTACACGCATGCACTTACCAGATGCTCAATTCTCTCTTCTCACTGGAAATTCAAGGAGTGAGAAACTAGTATCAATCAAAAGCACAATTTCTAACATACATGCACTCAATTAGTGCTGACTTCCCCCTTCGGACTGGTGTTTGCAGGATTTAGGAACGGTTGGGATCGGTTGGGCTCTCTTTGGAGGCCTGCCATTTGATGTGGTGAGTGGCAGGCAAGGGTGAGAGTGGCAAGGGCGAGGGGGGGGAGAGAGGGAAAGGGCGATTCTTATGTGGGTAGAGATTTACGCCTACCTACATGTAAAGGGGTTCTTTTGTGAGTACAATGCTTTTTCGCATGTTTCTGGCAGTGAAAGGGGATTATGTGTGAGAAGGGGTTCGATCATGGGAAGGAAGAGGTGTGCAGAAGCAATTTGCTTGGTCCCTTGTGTCGTGTTGCTGTCTGAGATTCGTGTACTCTCTCACGTGTCCACTATCGGATGTGATTGTGCAGGGCAATATCATTGGACAAATCATGGGATTCCTGGGTTCAGCTCTGTATGCTTACTGCAAAATTAAGGGTGTCTAGAGGCCACATTATGCGTATAAAAATGCTATACAGTGCAACCGCACATGTACCAGTACAGTACCAGTATGTGTCACTGTCCGAGCATTGTACTGTATAAAGTCGACATCTTCAGCCAGCTTGCTGTATGTCTAGTGTTGTGTGCTGCAACTGCACATACGTATGTGTCACTATTTGAGCATTGTATTAAGAGTCTAACATCTTTCAACCAGGTTATGTATTGTGTTGTATGGTGTACTGATCCTCTTTGGCCGCAAGCGTGCCCTCTTGCTTTCAATGGGTAGTACGAAAGTTTTTAGAACATGGGTCATGGGTCAAACTGTTGTTCAAAGTATTTCAAGCAGGCCCAGGCCCACCAAAGCCAGCAGCTAAAATAGTGACCCCCCCCTTCTAGTTGGGTCCACTACACCCTCTTTCTCGCTACACTGAACTGTGCCGAACTGGTGGAAAACCTTGTTATCTTTGATTTGTCTGATTGAAAACCTTGAGACTTAATTTAACCACCGTTAACCGTGCTTTTCCCATCTTGACTACACTATAACCAAATTCACAACGGCGAGAAAGAGGGTGTAGAAAGTTGAAGTACTGTTTTGTATTATTTTTCCAGCCCCATATGATACTGATCGACTCTCCAAATTTCTTCTCAAACAAAAATCATCGCAAGCATGTGCAAATGCGTCGCTTGAAAGTTTGCGACGTGCGAATCTCAATTACATTCATCAGTGCCAAACTCACATCGTGAAGCATGTACAACTCGTGCAAAGCAAGTCCAACTCACACAAAGCAAAGGCCTTCGACATAGGCCTGGGCGGCAATAACAACATGTGAAAAAACAAGAGGCATATAACAGAGAATTTCAAGGTGTCTCGAGAAGAGACAATTAGCGCAATAGAAACGAGGACGCGAGAGGAGAGATGCGTGAGAAAAATCCGCGGAATGCTAGGGGAGATAGCAAGGACGACTCTACAAAATGTCAGAAGGAAAAGGAATGAAAAAACATTTCACGGGGATTGTTTGATGTTTTCCCCTGCCATCAATGCTTGTGGTTTATCATGATGAGTGCTGAACAGTTGAGGTATGTTCGAGGAATCATAACAACGTGTGCATGTGCAAACTTGAGTAGGCTCGGCAAGGAGTGCTTCAGCACATCGCGAACATTGCTCATCCTCACTATAGCAACCAGGAGAACATTTACAATAAGTTACTATAGCGGATCAATGATCACATTCCATGCTCTCAATAGGAGAAAATACAAGCGCTTGTATTTTATCCTATTGAGAGCATGGAATGTGATCATTAAAACAGTTTAAACTAGAAATCACATATTACAGCCTGCCAATTGGGTGCCAATATCCAATCGTGACACTCATGAATTAGGTTTCTGCTAACACTTGTCATGGTTCCTCATGTCTTATATTTGAACTCAACATTACAACGATGATAGCCATCGTCACAAGACCTAGCCTGCCTTACCAATTTATAAAAAGAAGAAAAAACCTAACATCCTAGATAAATACCCCCGCACAACAAATCCACACACAATATTTGTAACATCCCGATACGAGTAGCTTATTTCGGACCGGAAGCGGGCTCTGCACCGAGCACCAACACACACAGCAGAGATAAGTTAGAAAAATGACTCCTGTGACATGAACCTACCAATCATGTATGCCGTTTATAAGCTCCGCCCTGCACCGCAGGAAGCACCTCTAGAAACCGTGATAAACTCGGCGATAGATTGGCGATTCAACTTCTCGAAAAATAAAACTGTTACATGGCCAATAATATTCACGGACGCTTGACGATAGTCTCGGAAATCGCTGATGTAGAGCCTTGTGATGAGCCCTAGCATTCTGCAAAGAAAGAGGTGCTCACAAGGTCGCATTAGCCAATGCTTACGTACCTGGAACAGAAACTCACAAGAATGGACCGGCACGCGTAGGGTGTGAGAAGGTAGCGTAATAACGGGTTTCATGCAGCCATCACAGCACTAATTGTCCACCACCCCGGACTTTCGATATCCTGCTAAAGAGAAGGTGTAAGAACAGGAAATAGGGACATATGTTAGAAACGGGGCCAATTGGGAGGAACGGATAGACACCAGAAGCCACAGCACCGTGCTAGATAAGCAAGTGAAGAGAATGGAGAATGAGATCGTGCAAGAGAAAAACAACGCATATTGAGCTATGGGTGGATTTTGACTAGCTGAGGGAGGGAAAAGCATCTCGCACACCAAATGTTGGCGACTGGGTTTGCGAGATCGTCAAAATCTCGTGTGGGTTGGAATGTACCACTGCTAGAGGGTTCAGACAGGCCACAACGAAGCTAGGCGAAAAACGGAAACCCTAATCGGTCTGAGTTTCTGTTCGCGAGGATGTCTAAACCAATCCGCGCTGTCACATCCATTTGTGACACCACACCTTCAGAGTGACGAGTCAGCAACATCTTATCTGGTTCATGACTCGCTATAGGTGCGTTTGCTATAACGCCAGGGAATTTCTGCAGATGCGATTTTAGATCCCAGGTTCAAGCAAATTCTGTGGGCTTGATGTTGCGCAAGGAAACCACCCGACATCCAGCAGAACCGAAATGGATTCGCTGTGTGAATCGAAATTGGCACGTGCGGGGCTTGTTCGATTCGAACTGCTAGACGTCGTGGGATACAATGGGGAAGGGGGGACATAGTTTTTGAAAAGTGATCCATGTTTCAGCAATGCGTACCCTCCTCAACAATGTTTCAAGTAACCCTAGTCATTGCTTGTTCAATAGTCTGTGCGCAAAGATCGGGAAAACCCAGTTTTGGGCATGGGCTGTGGTGTCACACATTTTGTAGAGGACGGAAAGGGAGGGGAGAGAGCGAGGGCGACGGAAAAGGAGGGAAGAGAACGAGGGCGACCGGACGGGAGGGGAGAGAGCGAGGGCACGGGATCGAGGGATCGACGGGAGGGGAGGGACGAGAAGAGGAACGACGCGAGGGGAGGTAATAATTTACGAAAGGCGGGACGGAGGGTGACGGGAGTGCGTTGGGAACGCGATCGCGATGAGACGCGAGGGTGGCGGGAGGAGAGAGAAGAAGGGCGACGGGAGAGGAAGGGCGACGGGAGACAGGAAGGGCGGCGAGAGAGAGGAAGGGCAACGAGAGAGGAAGGGCTGTGGGAGAGGAATGGCGACGGGATGTGAGAGGAGATCGCGAGGGCGATTGCGACGGTAGGGGCGACGGGTGGGCGATTTGAGGCGCGCGAGACGGCGACGAAGAGGGGGAGGAAGGGCGACGGAAGGGCGATTCAATATGAGGGCGAACAGGCGACGGGAGGGCGAGTGCGAAGGCTACGGGAGGGAGAGCGCGAAGGCGACGAGAGGGAGAGCGGACAGGCGACGGGAGGGAGAGCGGACAGGCGACGGGAGGGAGAGCGGACAGGCGACGGGAGGGAGAGCGGACAGGCGACGGGAGGGAGAGCAGACAGGCGACGGGAGGGAGAGCGGACAGGCGACGGGAGGGCATCGCGAAAATGGCAAGTGCCGAAAGTCACAAAAATGTCGCAGAAATGTCACAGCAAGTCCGGCGTTTTTTAGTCATGGTTGAAAGTACACCCTCATTCTCAGTCTTCTCACCGGCGGAAGCAGGGGCTACAGTGTTTGGACGTAGCGGGCTGGTGAGATAACTCGGTTGCGGGCCAAGTCGCACGAGGCGACGAAACCAGACTTGGGCCGTAAAATTCCGTTAACGCTGAATAACTGTCTTAACCGTTTAGAAAACAGCAGTACAATTTTAGAACGTATAGAACCTTGACTAAACGCCCTGGGTCAAACTGTCAGTATAACGCATGTGATATGACCTTCTTTGGTCCGCTGCGGCTACACTAAGCGTCCCGGTCAGTATAACATATGCCAGTCTAACGAGAATGAGGGTGTACCGGCCGCGATGTGACGTACGAAGTCACATAAAAGTCACGTTGATGTGACCAAATGTCATACAGAATGTCACATTCTAGTGTCTCATGAAGTGATCTTCTTGTCACATCTTAGTTAACATGCCACATGGACGCCCCACGTCCACGTGTATTCATGTATTTTGTGTCAGAATCTTATTATTGTCTAGCCTGCAGTGGGGTACTCTATAGCGAGTACAACCCAATTAGGGTTTCCTATATGTATGCCAACTGCTGCTAGTGCAACCACTCCTTTCTTCATTCTTGTTTCTCACTGACTAGTTCTAACATGCTATCAGAGCAGGTCGACCCTCCTGGGTCGATCCTGTGGGTAGGCCCCACCCGATGCTTCCGCTGCTCTACTGCTGTCGCACGCCCCGGGCGCTCGACCCTTTCTTCCTGCCGCGCACTCGGAGCGCGCGGCGTTTTTCATCCCGCCGTGCGCCCGGGGCGTGCGGCGGTTTTCTGCCCGCCGTGCGCCCCGAGGCGCGCGGCGGTTTTCTGCTTCGCAAGGCGGTTTTCTGCCCGTCGTGGCGCCCCCGGGGACCTGCGCGCTGCCCCCCGTCACCCGTCACGGCGCCCTGGGGGCCCGCGCATCGCCCTCCTCCCGTCGCCTCGTCGCGGCGCCCTGGGGGCCCGCACGCCGGCCCCTCCCGTCGCCTCGTCGCGGCGCCTTGGGGGCCCGCGCGTCCCCCTTTCCCGTCGCCTCGTCGCGGCACCTTGGGGGCCCG